AAAAAAAAAAAAAAAAAAAAAAAACAAAAAAAAAACTAGACAAAGAGAGGACAATAAATTGAAAGAAAGTAGAAGGATGAAAAAGAGTGAATCAAACCAAAAGCTTAAATATTTTAAAAGTTTTTTTTTTAATAATAAAAGCCATCAGAGAGAAAAAAAAAGAAGACACAAATTATCAATACCAAAAATGCAAGAGAGGACTAACTACTAACACAGCAGACATTCAAGAGATAATAAAACAACATTACCAATAACTCTGTGTTAGTTCGGGCTACTATAACAAATTGCCATAGACTAATAAACTTCTGTTTTTCTCAGCTCAGGAGACTGGAAGTCTGAGATTAGGGTGCCAGCATGGCTGTATTCTTGTGAAGACTTCTGAGTTACAGACTACTCACTTCTTGTTACATCCTTACATGGTGAAAAGCGAATTAGCTAGCTCTGTTATCTTTTTGTAAGGGCATTCTAATCTCTCTTTTTCTTTTCTTTTCTTTAACTATAAAAGCAAATGAACTTTATTTGGATAATCTAAGTAGAAAGAAAGGTAGGTGAATGTGTACTGTACCAGAGAGGACACATTCTATGTCAAATTTAAAACATTATGGCAGAATAATCTAAAAGACATTTATTTCTAAAGAAGCTGTCAGTGAAAAGAAAAGGATATTTATGACAACGTAACATATTAACTTGATTCATTATAATGGTGGATATGTTAACCCTGTGTCTAATTTGCTCAAATTTTAACTATGTTTTCATATGTAAATAAGGCTGAAATCTTTCTGTATGTGTGTGTGTGTGTGTGTGTGTGTGTGTGTGCATGTGTCTGAATGTGTGTGTGTCTGTGTGCACAGTTCCAAATGACAACTCCAGGACCAAATGGTTTTAACTAGTGAATTCTATCAAACATCCAAGGAAGAAATAATACCAATCCTACACAATGTCTTCCAGAAAATAAAAGAGGGAATATTTTCCAAATCATTTTGTAAGGCCTGCCTCATCTTCATGCCAAGATTAGGCAAAGACTCTTCAAGAAAAGAAGAGTCTTTTCAGACCAATATCTGCCATAATATAAATTCAAAAATGCCCCCAAAAGTACATAGAAATAAATAAATATAAATAATAAATCAGTGAATTCTGCCTCGAAAATGACAAACAGTTGCCACATTGCAACACAGTTACTGTAGTTTTTACACTACATTTTAGGTCAATGTAATATCTTATCAGAGGTCTGAAGAATTAAAACCACACAACACATCAATGCCAAAAATTTTAACAAAATTCAAAATCGATTTATTAACTTAATAAAAGGAATCTACAAAAAGCCTATATAACTAACATTATGCTCAAGAGAGACTGAATGTGTTCCCTCTAAGATCAGGAAAAAGACAAGGATGCCTACTACCAGTACCTTTACACAAGATTGCACTGGAAGGACCAGCCAGTGCAATAAGGCAAGAATAAAAACACAAAGATACAGAGTAAATTTACAAAGAAAATCATTTAAAATCTAAAAAGCTCCTTGAACTAGTAACTGTTTTTAGCAAGGGCAGAATCTAAGGCAAATATACAAACCTATGCCTATAAACACAAATGATGAATTGGAATTTGAAATCAGAGAAACAGTATTTATCACAGTACCAAAACAAAATTAAAAACAAAAATTAAAAAAGCCTTTTCATCTTTGTTCTAAAAACTAAAAGACATTAATGAAAGAAATCAAAGGAACAGTAAATAAATCAGTGGGGACATTTTGTACATGGATTGGAAGACACAATTGTTAAAATGTCAGTGCTCTTTAATTTGCTCTATAGATTCAATGGCACACCAGTTTAAATGCCAACATGTTTCCTTTGTAAAGATCATGAAACACATTTAAAAATTTATACAGAAGATGAAAACTGGAGAAGTACTTGATTTCAAAACTTAATAAGCCAGAGTAATCACGTTAATGTGGTATTGGCACAAGGACAGATACATACATGAATGAAAAGAAATAGAAACTACAGAAATAGACCCACAAATATACAGCCATCTATTTTCTAAGAAAAGTGGAAATGCTATTCAGTGGAGAAGTAACAATCTTTCCAAAAATAATGCTGGAATAACTAGACTCCCCGTTCCAAAAAAAATTAAACTTGACACATAACTCATACTTTCTATAGAATTTAACACAAAGTGGATTATCAACTAAGTGTAAAAAGTGAAGCTGTAAAATTTCTAGAAGAAAATAGGATTCCTAAATCTGTTATTTTGAGTTTCAACGTTTCTAGATAGGGTAACAAAGCAGGATCTGTAAAAGAAAATTAATAAGCTGGACTTTACCAAAATTAATATTCAGTTTTAGTGAGCCTCCCCTAAAGTTATACTAGCAGGAGTGAGATGCAGCATCATTACCTGACACATGGGGATGGAAGTCCAGTTCTCCACTGATCTATGCTGACACCCTGGAGGTGGAAGAGGAGGCTTCTACTTTTTTTCTTTTTTTTTTTTTTTTTTTGAGACGGAGTCTTTCTCTTGTCGCCCAGGCTGGAGTGCAATGGTGTGATGTCGGCTTACTGCAACCTCTGCCTCCCAGGTTCAAGTGATTCTCCTGCCTCAGCCTCCAGAGTAGCTGGGATTACAGGTGCCTGCCACCATGCCTGGCTAATTTTTGTACTTTATTAGTAGAGACAGGGTTTCACCATGTTGGCCAGGCTGGTCTCAAACTCCTCACCTCAGCTGATCCGCCTTGACCTCCCAAACTGCTGGGATTATAGGTGTGAGCCATTACTCCTGGCCAAAGATTCTACATTATCCCTGGGCATGGGTGAGAGATCAGGAGCCCCACAAGGACTCTGATGATGCTAACCACCCTGTATTTCATCAGGAGCCAAGACCCCTAGTGCATCTTCATTCTTCTTTCCACCCTTGAAAAGTACTTCACTTTATTATACTCCTCTACAAATATTGCACTTTTTTTTTTTTTGAGACAGAGTCTCATTCTGTTGCCCAGGCTGAAGTGCAGTAGTGGCTCGCCATAAATAACCTCCACCTCCTGGGTTCAAGCAATTCTCGTGCCACAGCCTCCTGATTAACTGGGATTATAGGCATGAGCCACCATGACTGGCTAATTTTTTTGTATTTTTAGTAGAGACAGGGTTTTGCCATATTGGCCAGGCTGGTATCAAACTCCTGGCCTCAAGTGATCTGCCTGCCTCGGCCTCTCAAAGTGCTGTGATTACAAGTGTGAGCTACTGTGCCTGGCTAGATATTGCATTCTTTACAAACTGAAGGTTTGTCACAACACTGAGTTGGGCAAGTCTGTTGGCACCATTTTTCCAACAGCATGTGCTTACTTTGTGTCTGTCCCAGCCATTTTTAGCAATCAAATATTTTAATTAAGCCATGCATACTGTTTTTTAGACATGTTATTCCACATCGAAAAGACTATAGTATAAACATAACTTTTATATGCCCTAGGAAAACAAAAAAATTGTGTGTAACTTGCTTTATTATGATAATTTGCTTCATTGTAGTGGCCTGGAACAGAAACTGCAATCTCTCTAAAGCATGACTATATATACAGATATTTGGCTACACTTAGTGGGTAGAGTAGAAAGGAATACATTTACTCTATCCTTCCCATGGTTAATGCATTCTGTAGTTTATTAAATCCTTCCCTAAGAAGAGTCATTAACCTATTCTATATCATCTTCTAGAGTATTTCTACTTTTGCTTTGATAATTAGTTCTTTAAGCCAATTGAATTTGATTTACTGTTTTGATCTATATGGATACCTCAAGATCCTTTTCCCATTGTTCTCCAGTGTCACCTAAGACCAACTGTCTATCAGGTGCATGTTTTCTCATGATCTTTCTACTCTGTTTCACTAATTTACTAAACCATCCCACCCCCTGCTCCATGCTACTTAGCTGCTCAGAGCTTTGCGTAATATCTGGCAGAGCAGCAAATCCTCCTGCATCACTCTGCTTTATGAATGGGATTGTGTTTGGTATAGCATTACATCTTTACAAATGTACCTCACCACTTGAATTCATCATATAGGTGTTGCTCCTCTTTTATCTTTGATAGGGTTAGCTAAAGTTTCATTCATTTTATTTTTATTGTAAGAAACATTTAGTTTTCCATTTTACTAATTTCCAATTTCACTTTTAAATTCTTCTGCTTTCATTACTGTATTTTTGATGCCATTCTTGCTTAATTTATTAATGAGACTACAAACTTCCTTCTGTCCACTACTTTAGCTATCTCTGATGGTTTGTAACTTGTGGCTACAATTATTTCATTAAGGAAATCAAATCCAAAATTGCATTACACTTTTTCATATATTGTTTAAAAGAGATACTTTAAAATTTTTTCAGGTGGATTGACTCCATTTTATTATTAATTTCTAGATTTGCCAAACTAGGTTCAGAGAATACTGTTTGTGCTTATTCTAATTTGTTGGATTTATTGAGGTTTTCTCTTTAGACTAATAGTATACTCTCACTATTTTATCATTAATCCATTTAAACATTAAAGTTTTGTTTTTTGCATTACCATACATATGCACAAACGTATAGTTCACTTTAATACAAATGTAATTTATATCCTTTCTAGGCATATTTATTTAATTTCCATTGTACCTATTGTTTAATCAGATGAGGCATATTATGATGTCCTAATTCTAATGAGTTTTAAGTTCTTAGAACTCCATTATTTTATGTTTTAGTAACATTGATATGATATTATTTGATGCAGTCATTCAAATCCTTAAAGGTTTTCATTTCTCTGTGCTCTTGAATGACAGCTTTTTCTACTTTAATGTATTTATTGCCTAAATTCTGATCTGAATAATACAGAACATGAAACCTACATTATTTTCTCTTTATTGACTCAACAACTTTACCAATCTTTTATAATTATCTTTCTATGTTATTTATTTAGGGATATCTCTTTTAGACAATCAGTATGATCCAATAATTTACATTTAGTGACTCGGCAACATGCTTGATCTAAATTATGTCAATCTTTATGTGATGCTATTTGTTGGTTATGGCTTCATAAGAAAAACTTTAACTGTGCTTCACTTCAAATAAGATGATTTTACTTTCTTATTCTAAAAATTATCTTGAAAACTATAACTTTTTAAGATTCCTGGAACCATTTATTGGTACAAAGGCTAACAGGCATATAAAAAGATGCCTGATATCATTAGTGACCAGGGAAATTGTTGTCTCATCCTTCCCAAATTCTTATTTTGAAGCCCTACCCAGAGTTTAAGTGTATTTGCAGACAAGGCCTTCATGGAGGCAATCAAGGTAAAAATGAGGTCAGAGGGAAGGGCCCTAATCCAGTAGTATCTTTATAAGATATGTTTATAAGAAGAGGAAAAACATCAGAATATTCTCTCTCTCCCACTGCATGTACACAGAGGAAAGGCCACATGAAAACACAGCAAGAAAGTGGCCGTCTTCAAGCCAGGAAGAGAGGCTTCATTAGAAACCAACTTCTTAGCACTTTTATCTTGGACTTCCAGCCTCCAGAATCACAAGAATTTCTGCTGTTTAAGCTTCCCAGCCTATGGTATTTATTATAATAGCCCTAGCTGACTAATACAGAAATGTAAAGCAAAACCACAGTGAGATATTGCTTCATAACCACGGGGTGGCCAGAATCAAAAAGTCAAATAATAGCAAGTATTGGTGAGGATGTGGAGAAATCAGAATCCCCATATGCTGTTGTTAGGAATGGAAAATGACACATTTAGAACAACAGTCTGGTGGTTCCTCAAACAGATAAAGACACAGATACCATATGACCCAGCAGTTTCACTCCTAGGAACAGACACTTAAGAAATAAAAACAATTGTCCATGCAAAAACTTGTAAATAAATGTTTATATTAGCATTATTTGTAGGTAGAATCCCAAATATCTACTGACTGATGAATGGACAAACAGGTGGTATATCGACACAACAGAACATTTGGCCATAAAAAGAAAGAAACATGTATTCTATAACTAGTTGTAAATATAATGCTAAAGAAAACAAGCCAATCACAAAAGACCACATATTATATATGATTCCATTTATATGAAATGTCCAAAATAAGCAGTTCTATAGAGACAGAAGTAGACTGGTGGTTACCTAGAGCTGCAGAGGGGATAGGAGAGTGACAACTAAAGGGTACAGGTTTCTTTGAGGTGATGAAAATTAACTAGCGATGTCTGCATATACAGTCATCCTCTGGTATCCATGGGGAACTGGTTCCAGGATGCTCTTGAATACCAAAATCTGCAAATGCATAGGTTATATGCAATTATAGATTATATCATTGCATATAACCTATGCACATCCTCTTGTATACTTTAAATCATCACCACATTAATTATGCTACCTAATACAATGAAAATATCATGTTAATAATTGTTATACTATATTGTTCAGGGAATGATGACAGGAAAAAAATGTCTACACATGATGAATGGAAGTGTAATATTTCCTCCCTGAATAGTTTTGATCTGTGGTTGCTTGAAGTCACTGAACTGTATACTCTAAATGAGTGAATTGTATAAGATGTGAATTATATCTCAATAAAGCTGTTAAAAAAAAACTTTCAAAGTTGCTCTCTCTCTAAAGTCTCTCTAGCCCAGAGGGCTCCTTCTGTTAACATCCACTCACCCGGGTACCTCTGGTTCAGGAATTCATCTTCTAAGGACCATGGCTCTTCTCCTTGCTCCAACTGGGAGATCACCTTGGGTTTGGTAATGCAATATCCTATAAACAAAATAATTAAAGGTATACATGGACCAGATCCACGAGCTTTTAAGTTTCCAAAGTTGAAAAAAGATACGGCAGCAAAGCATTAACTGAGAATATTCATTTGAGGTTTTTATTGGGGAAGTAATAACACCTTTCTTTTGTTTCTGTAAAGATTTCAACTACTTCAGACCTTTTAATCCAAAGCCTATAAACTCTTTAATTTCTATAAAGGGTCCGTGTGTTTTGATAATTTTTAAAAAGGGAACATATATTCTAGAGAGAGCCCCATGGTAAGCTGTGCTCACCCACTGAGACGAGGTGGCTATAGTTCTCCAGCATCACATCTCTGTAGAGAGTCCACTCGACAGGGCCCAGGTGCTGCCACTCCTCCTGGGTGAATTCCACAGCCACATCCTGGAATGACACTGATGCCTGTAACAACATTTATCACAACAAATGTAACAACGGTTTGTTCAAAGGTTCAGAATTAGGTGACACAGAAAATATCTTTGAGAGCTACTACTTTGAGGCTCTAAAATGAATGGTTATAAAGGCCTATTTTAGACCCAGTATTATCTTAACATATGTTACTTAACGAAAACATTTTTAACTGGCCATAATTTATCTATTTACATTTATGAATTCTAGGTTTGAAGACAAAAAGGAATTCAGTGTAAAACAACTTTCTACAACTTCCTTCCAACCACCTCCTTCCTTCTTCCACATCTCTGCAGATTATCGAGGGTAGTCTCTAGGACATTCACACCCTCCCTGGACATCATCACTGTAAATACTGGGGGCTAAGGAAGAGATACATGTGAGGTCTGGAGATACCCTGACCAAGCTTATGTATCAATAAATGTATACAATATACAAGCATAGAGCACGTGAAGAGCAGAGAACAGCTACAAGATAGTTGGAACCAAAGAGACCAGTGTAAGAGAACACTTCCTACACAGAAGTCCCAGCAATGGATGTAAGAATAGGGATGTAATCACAGAAGAGAAGCTACAACCATTTAATAACTACTTTCCTGTACAGCTACTCAGTCCAGCTGCATAAGCAGCTCCTTTTAAAAAGATTTTGTTTTTAATTGACAGGCAAATATTTCAAATTATATCTCACTTACATGTGGAATCTAAAAAGTTCAAACTCATAGATGTAGAGAGTAGAATGTTGGTTACCAGAGGCTGCAGGTGAGGGGCGAGGAATGGGGAGGCACTGGTCAAAGGGCACAAAGTTTCAGTTACATGAGAGGAATATTTTTTTGAGATATTGCACAGGATGATGACTAGTGTGAATAATAATGTATATTTCAAAATGAGCAGCTGCTTGGTGGTGCCAAAACTGGTATTTGAGAAACAAGAAAAAATGTGTTAGAAAATTCAGTGAGAGTTCTGTTCATGTTGGTACACAGCTAGAAATATTCCTTCGACCAGGACACACGATTTTAGAGCACAAAAGGGAAGATGGGGATGAAGACAAGCATTTATGAGTCACTAGCAATTCGGGTGGTAAGTGAGGTTAGCAAAGACAGACAGACAGCTTCTTGAGCACGTAGGGATTGAAGAAAGAAAAGAACCAAAAACAATACCTGAGGAACCACAAAGAAGAAAAAGTACAGACCACAAAGCCAGAGATGTTTTCTGAAATATAATAATAGAATCAGGAGGGGGCAGAGTCTTAGAAATTTAGAAAAGAGAAACTTTCCACAACAAAAAGACTTCAAATTAGCAAGTGATGACAGATACTGAAGTAGAGATCCAAGAAAATTCCTTCTTCCACAGAAGCAATTAGGAACTGGCAAAAACTGTAGAATCCACTTTTTCAGAACTCTAGAAGCTACCAAAGGCTTACAGCAATCCGCAGAACATTGATATCAGAAAAACAGCTGCATCACAGTAAGAACAATGATCTTGTGTCATTTCAACCTGCCCTATCTCCCTCCCCCTTGCTCCAACTCGGCATTAGCTTTAAGAAATGTCTGACGCAACAGGGGAATCTAGCAGCCTGGTATCCACTGGATGAGGCAGACTGGGTCGCAGGTCAGCCAAAGCCTCATTCCCAGAAAATGCTCATTATCTGACCAAATCTGTGGTTCCCTGGAGAACTCACTTGCAAGGCTTATTGTATGAATTAACTCAGAGTTCCCCAGTGTGAAAAGCCTTATCCTTGAAGGCATTTGCCAGAAATATTCAAAGGCAATTGTTTAACTTAGCAGCTACCTGAGGCTGTGGATAACACCTGACACGGATAATAATCTAATCAAAAACCTTTATTAGAAAGGAAAAACTGGGGAATGGAATGTTCAGGAAGTTTTTGAAAAGCTTCTACAGATTCTAGAGACTCTAGAAGGTCTCCTACATGCATAGTGCTGAGCATATGCCCAGGACTGTGAATATGCTCTGGAAAGATGTGAGAAGGTCCTACACTGTTACCCTGGGTAACCCTGAGGTTTAGGGTGAACAGGAAGTGAAGGCTAACATGGAGTTATAAATTGCCTGGATGACTGTTAAAGGAATGCTGTAGCACTCATGAGGCTCTTTGGCAAAGACTGAGAGACTTACTTAAGGTTTCAGGCATCCAAGAAAATTTCTGCAGACTTCTGCAGCCACACATGATAATAAACACAGGCTCTACTGAATCAGTTGAAAAAGTCGCCAAATTTCAACAACAATCCCAGCAAATCAAGAAAGTTTTCTAGAGCTGCCACCTTATTTTATTTAAAATGTATAGTTTTCAACAACAACAAAAAAAATGCAAAACAAGAAAAGAAACAACCAAGTAAGACTCATATGCAGGAAAAAAGTACAATCAACAGAAACTGCTCATGAGGAAGCAGGCATTCGACTTACTAGACAATGACTTTAAATCAACTATTTTACATACAGTCAAAGACTTAGAGGAAATGATATATAAGGACTAAAAGAAAGTATTAGAATAACATCTCATCCAATAAAGGATATCAATAGACAAAAACTATAAAAAGGAACCAAATAGAAACTCTAAAGATGAAAAGTACAAAACTAAAACAAACATTTTACCAAAGAAAAACTGTTCAACAGTAGGTCTGAGCAGGTGGAAGAATGAAACAACTGGACAACATGCCACTGAGATTATGCAGTGAGAAACAAAGAAAAATAACAAGAAATGAACTGTTGGACAGCATCAAGCTTACCAATATATGCCAAATAGACTAACAGGGTAAAGATAGAAAGGGTCTAAAACAGTATCAGAATAATGGCTAAGAAACCCCCAAAGCTGATGAAAACGATAAATCTACATATCCAAATGCTTCACATACTTTAAGTAGGATACAATTGGAAATCCACACTGGCTGAGGGGGGTGGCTCACGTCTGTAATATCAGCACTTTGGGAGGCTGAGGCAGGCGGATCACTTGAGGCCAAGAGTTCAAAACCAGCCTGGCCAACGTAGCAAAACCCCACTTCTATTAAAAATACAAAAATTAGGCAGGCATGATGGTGAAAGTCTGTAATCCCAGCTATTCAGGAGGCTGATCCACAAGAATCACTTGAACCTGGGAGGTAGAGGTTACAGTGAGCCAAGATCGTGCCACTGCACTCAAGTCTGGGTGACAGAGCAGGAGACTGTCTCTAGATAGATAGATAGATAGATAGATAGACAGATAGATAGAAATCCACACCTGGACATGAGAGTCAGAATGTAAAAAAAATAGAGAGATAATCACGATAGCCATAACAGAGAAAGAAGTCATCATATTAAAGGCTGATTTTTAATGAGAAACAATGAAGGACAGAGGGCAATGGGATGACATATTCAAAGTGCTGAAACAAAGACTGTCAACCAATAACCTCTATATCCAGGAAAAATGGAGATATTGTAATCTTGCCAAGTAAACAAAACCTGAGAGAATTCATCACAGGCAAGACCGCCCATAAGAAATAATAAAGAGAGTGGTTCAGCAAAACTGTAGAGACAGAGGAGCAGGTTAGCAGTTGTTTGGGGTTCATAGGGAATGGAGTGGTAGTTATAGTGTACACAGCTTCATTCTCAGGCAAGAAAAATGGTCAAAATTGACTATTGGGATATTAGCACATTGTCTCAGAATATACTAAAAAAAAAAAAACACTGAATTCTACACTTCAAATGGGTAAATGGTAAGATATGGAATTGAATCTCAAAAAAGGAATTTTAAAAAAAGAAAAAACAAGGGAAGACAAAATCATCTGGAGACAACAGAGAAGACTAAAGAGCCAGGAGAGAAACTGAGGCTGAGCCAAATGAAAGGACAAGGAAGGTGGCTCCATGAAGACATCAGCAGGGGAATGACAGGAGAGTGGAGGATATCAGTAACGGGGAAATGTTCCAGGACAGAGTGAGACATTGAGCCAAGTGCTTCGGAAAAGCCAAGCAAGGAAAGGAAACGACCACACCCACTGCATTTGATTAACCTCTGGGTAGGGACACTGGAGTTCCCAGGCAAGTTGGAGAAAAACCAAGGCATCCTACGGAGATTTGACATTAAATACCAAGTGTGAAAATACCTGAAAGAGAACAAAATTTTGGACTGCCTGCTGAGCAACCTGAATATCACCGTACTTAAAATATTTATGGAGAGTGATGTTAAAAACATTCAGTTGATTTATTAGAAAAATATTAAATTCAACCCCTGCATTGGAGTTGCATTGGAGTTCTTGAAAAACAATACTGAATGTGTTCAAATTTAGCATTATAGTTTCTACTTCTATTGAAGAAGAAATAATATTCTGTTATTTGGCAATTTATTAACTAAGTCACCTACTTGAAGAATAAATACATTTCATTATCTTTATTGTTATATTCCATGATAAATCAGTTTGCTTTATCCTTCTCATCAATGTAAACCTTTAAGTATTGTCTGTCTGACACTCTACCATGGCTGTCAAGAACCTCAGAAATAAATGTGAAGCACAATTTCGTAAATTTGTAATATCAGAGGATCTGCCTCTCTCCACATGCCACTTTGCTCTGCTGTTCACCTACATTTCTACACCTTCTGTGAATGTGTCTGATCCATTTCTATTTCTGCTTTTCCATGTTAATGTAGACATATAAACTCTTAAGAATCAATTGCAAAATTAACTGATTTTTAAAAACCAAACTCACCTGAGAGGTATTCATTTTCTGTTGCTCCTGGAAGAGTGTAGAGAACTGTGGAGCTTCAGCTGGGGAGGAGGAAAGATCGATGGGGTCATGAGAGACCTGGTCTGCCTCATACTTCCTACAGAAATGGTCCCTGACATAAAATGGTTCAACCTGACAATGGTTTTACTACGACATAATTCCATTGTAAGTAAGAAGCATGTAATCCTATTCACGTGCCTAAAAAAAATTTCATCACTCTCAGTTGGAGAAAAGGATTCCCAATGCAGAATGTCCTTTTGACTCTTGAAAAGGGACAAGAAGGGCCACTCGAAGATAGCAACACCTGAACATGTGAACCTCTGATAGGATTACGTGTGCTTAGCCTTGCATTTTCACTAAGCAAAGTTATACTGGTTTTTGTTGATTTACTAATAATTATGTTGATTTATTAACAATTACGTTCCCTTTTGGACAAACAAAAAAGTAAAAATAAAACAAAGGATTAAACAAGTTCAGGTACACAGAGGTGAAGCTGTTTACCTTCATTAAAACTAATGTCAAAAAACTACCCAGCCGGGCATGGTGGCTCATGCCTATAATCCCAGCAATTTGGGAGCCCAAGGTGGGTGAACTGCTGGAGGCCAAAAGTTCGAGACCAGCCTGGCCAACATGGCAAAATCCTGTCTCTACTAAAAAGAGAAAACATAAAAAACAAATTTAAAAATAATTTTTTAAAAAAGGAACTACTCAGGCTAATTTATTAATCCAGTTCTTACTGTTTTTATACCCAGAGTTAGAGTTTCCACAGAAAAAATAAAGATGGGATGTTTTATGCAAGGAATTTCAGGCCCAATATTTTGGGGCTTCCAATATAGGAAATTCTTCCTCCCCTACCAGGAAAGAGGGAGAATTAGTATTACTCTAAATGCCACATGTGGTGATGAACACGGTGTGAGAGACTCAGAATGTGGAAGAAGTGAAGGGAGAATGGCAGAAAATGGGCTGCTGTTTGGGATCTGGACAGCTGATTACGTCTTCCCTGGATATCATGTCCTAACCAGCCCTCAAGTAAAGTGTCTTTTTCCACTCATCTTGACAATCACTCAACCCTCTCAACTGCAGGGAATCACCTTCTGCAAGTTAGTCCATAGCAAAGTCACACATTCTGGGATGGCTTCTGGATATGGTGACATCACTAAATCTGACTCATATTATACAGGGAATCAAGAATGCCGCTGGGGAAGCAATCAGAACTCGCTCCTTTCTAGAATCTTCTGCCTCTGCTCTGAAGCTCTAGAAGAGATCTCCTCCATCAAATGGGCTATTGTTCTATGGCAGTGGTCCCTAGGACTCCCTCTTTATTGCCTCGTAGGAGCTGCTTTGATCCAGAGGGGCTGTATCTTGGGCCTGAGAAACTCACTTTACTTGAAACCTTCACCTAATACCCTAAACCTGACTCTCGAGATTCACTAAAAATCTGCTGTTCAGCACTGCAACCATCAGCCACATACAACCATTGCACACCTGAAGTTTGGCCAGTGCCACAAGCTGAATATTTAGGATGCAATGAGTTAAGTAAAATAAAGCAGTAAAACTGATTTTGCCTGCCTCTTCCCTTTACTGTAGCTACTGCAAAATTCTAAACTCTTCTGGTTTTTTTTTGTTTTTTTTTTCTTTTTTGAAACAGAGTCTCACCTAGTCGACAGAGCAAGACTCTGTCTCAAAAAAGAATTTTGCAGTGGCTCACTAAAGCCTCTGCCTCCCCTGGGTTCAAACGATTCTCGTGCCTCAGCCTCCCAAGTAGCTGGGATTACAGGTGTGAGCCACCGTGCCTTGTCAAAAATTCTTAATTATATTTGTGTTTGCCTTATCTTTCTACTGGACAAGACAGCACTAGAGTATCAATCTGTGCCTTTGCAGGGAGAGACAGCGGGAACAGTACAAGAGGTATCAGGAGCCTCAACCTGAATCCGAGGTCCTGTAGAGACCCGACAGATCGCAGGATGTATTTACCACTTGGTGAGATTCTGTCCACATCCACTTCACAATCATCTACGCACATCTGGTGACAGGCCACTCTGCAAAAGCGCTCTGAAGGCTTTAGGCCAGTACTGGCAAGTCTGGGTTTCAGATAGACAGCATAATAGAAAGAGCAGGACAGGAGTCACATCTCTTGGCATTTGCACCTCACCTCACTCACCTCCCAGTGTGTGTCTCGGGGTACCCATCCCCATGAACTTCCGTTCGTTTTTTAAAAATGGCATGTTTTTATACCAAGATGGGTCGTTGTGAAGGTTAAGTGAAATACCAAACGATGAGAACAAGTGTCTCATAATTCTGAGAGCAGGTTACATTTCACACAGTGACTATTACAGAAACTTGACAAAATGCTTCACAGGTGACAACTTATTTAATTCTCAGAATAGCAACACGAGTTACTAGTAATCTCCTCCTGTTTGCCGTCAACCTTATCCATGCACATTCCCCTTCTCGCGCCCGCAGCTCCGCTGGGCCGGGCAGCCCCCACTACTGCGGACAGGACTCGGCCCCTGCCCGCGACCCGGGCAAGGGAGGAGAGGGAGGACCAGCCTGGGGACTCCCGAGGCTGCCTGCTGCTGTCCACTGCACACGAGCCCGCCCGTCCCCAAGTCCCCGGGCCGCGCGGAGCCCCGTCACCGGCGCTCTCACCCCAGGTGCGCAGCCTCGGCTCCCGCGCAGACCTAAGACCTCGGACACCTTGTCCCTTTCAGGCCTGGGAACGCGGACTACAGGAGGCGAGGCTGGGTTTACGCATGCGCAGAGGGAGCGCCGAAGCCCCATTCCCGAAGTGCTACGCGGTAGGCGCGTAACATTGAAAACTGCAATTCCCATAAGCCCATGCGCCCGATGGAAGTATAATTTTTTCTGCTTCTTTGACCCGCTGGAAGGGACCCTTGGAGCCCAGGCAGAGTTTCCCAAAATTCCCTGAGGTTGTCAGCATGATCACAAACTGCGATGCATGGTCCTAGATACAATCTTGGTTGGAGAAAAAAGCAGCTGCCAACAGACATTAACAATTGGAGAAACATGACTTTCGACAGGAAATTAGAAATATTAAGAAAAATTACCATTACTTTGAGAATAATATCTAGACAATGTAGGACATTGTTCTCATATTTAAAAGATAGGTACGGAAACATTTACAATTGTATGTTTGTAGTTTAATTGAAATACTTTAAAAATGATTTCTCAAAACAATGAGAGAAAGCAAATATAGTGAAAAGTGAAGAATTGTTAAATCTGTATAATACCGTGCAGGTGATGCTCATTTTACTATTTTCTACTATTCTGAGGGTCTGATTTTTTTTCCCCATACTCAGTAAAAGACGTGTGGGAGAGTGTGGTGCAAGGGGAGTGGAGAGACTTTACTATCCCTTCAAAAATACGCCTTTAAATTCAAAGTTGCCAAGTAAAATGAAAGTACATAAAAATAGCTTTATGAATAAGGTTGTGAAATAGAACAAATACTACAAAACATAAAAGAGTAACATCTGTGATCAACAGGGTTTATAGGGGTTGGAGGAGGAAGCTAACTGTTCAAAATACATGTAATGCTTGAAAACACATGCAACCCAAAATATGAAAATGATTATTATACCAACTTTGCATTTTCATGAGGGAACCCTCCTTGAGATGTGTATACCCATCTGACTGTTTAACGAATTAGGAATAGATAGGTGCAATAACATTTTTTTTTTAATTCATAGACTTTTTTTTTTTTTGAGATGGGTTTTGCTCTGCCGCCCAGCCTGGAGTGCAGTAGCGCTATCCAGGCTCTCTGCAACCTCCGCCTCCGGGTTCAATTGCCTCTCCAACGTCAGCCTCCTGAGTAGCTGGGACTGCAGGTATGGGCCACCATGCCTGGCTAATTTTTTTGTTTTTGTTTTTGAGATCGAGTTTCTCTCTTGTTGCCCAGGCTGGAGGGCAATGGCGGGACCTCAACTCACTGCAACCTCTGCCTCCCGGATTTAAGCGATTCTCCTGCCTCAGCCTCCCAAGTAGCTGGGATTACAGGCACCCGCCACCATGCCTGGGTAATTTTTTGTATTTTAAGTAGTGATAGGGTTTCACCATGTTGGTCAGGATTGTCTTGAACTCATGACCTCAGGTGACCTACCCACCTCGGCCCCCCCCAAAGTGCTAGATTACAGGCGTGAGCCACCGTTCCTGCCCTTTCTGTATTTTTTTTTTTTTTTTGTAGAGATAGGGTTTCACTGTGTTTCCGAGGCTGGTCTCAGACTCCTGGGTACAAGCCATCTGTCTGCCTCAGCATCCCAAAATGCTGGGATATTAACAGATATACAGAGTAGTTTTAGGCATACAGAAGAATTGAGCAGAAAGCACAGAGTTCCCATATACCTTCTCTCATCAACCCACACAGTTTCCCCTATTAATATATTGCATTCGTTTAGTACATTTAAAATACGCAGTCTACATTAGTTTTCACTCTATCTGCTCTACAGTTCTATCAGTGTTACCAAATGCATAATGTCATTTAGTGTGATTTCCACCAGTGCAATGATGTAATATCCACGATTATAATATCATAAAAAATAGTTTCACTGCCTGATATGGTTTGGATTTGTGCCCCTGCCCAAACCTCATGTCAAATTAAAGGAGGGACCTGATGGAAGGCGACTGGATCATGGAGCAGATTTCCCCTTTACTGTTCTCATTAAAGTGGATTCTCATAAGATCTGATGGTTTAAAAGTATGTGGCACATCCTCCCTTGCTCTCTCTTTTGCTCTGTCATGGTAAAAATATGATTGCTTCCCCTTCACTTTCTGTCATGATTGTAAGTTTCCTGAGGCCTCCCAGTCATGCTTCCTCTTAAGACTGCAGAACTGTGAGCCAACTAAACCTCTTTTCTTCTTAGCCTAGGTAGCTCTCCACAGCACTGTGAAAATGGACTAATACAGAAAATTGGAACCAGGAGTGAGGTACTGCTATGAAGATACCTGAAAATGTGGAAACAACTTTGAAACACCTTTTTTAAATTTCACATTGTGCCAGCAACATTTGTAGAAAAAGCCATTTTTTCTCCACTGTATTTGCCTTTGTTCTATTGTCAAAGATCAGTTTATGATATTTGTGTGGGTCTTTTTATGGGTTCTCTATTTCGTTCCATTGATCTATTAATACTTGTCAGTTATTTCACCAATATGACACTGCCTTGATCACTGTACCTTTATAGTAATTTTTGAGGTGGTGTTAGTCTTCTGACTTTATTTTTCTTCACTATCAAGTTTGCTATCTGGGTCTTTTGCATTTCCATATAAACTTTAGAATCAGTTTGTTGATGTCTGTAAAATAACTTGCTGATATTTTATTGAAATTGTGTTGAATCTGTTGATCAAATTGGTAGGAACTAATATCTTAACAATATTGAATCTTCCTATCCATTAACATGGACTATCTCTCCATTTAGTTCTTCATTTCTTGCATTTGAGTTTTGTACTTTTCCTCATATATATCTTGCATGTATTTTGTTAGATTTATACCTAAGTATTTCATTGTTTTGATGATAATGTAAATGGTTGTTTTTAATTTCAAATTCCAATTTTCATTGTTGGTTTATAGGAATGTAATTGATTTTTATATAATAAGCTTGCATACTGCAACCTTGCTAATAATCACTTAGTTCTAGATATTTTTCTGTCAGCTCTGGGGTTTTCTACATAGATAGTCATAGCATCTGCAAACAAAGATAGTTTTATTACTTCCTTCCCTATCTGTAGGTTTTTTACTTCATTTTCATGTTTTATTTCATTAGCTAGGATTTTCAGTATGATGGAATAAGTATGGTGAGAGAGGAAATCCTTGCCTTGATCACTATCTTAGGGGCATTTTGTTTCTCAGCATTTAAGTATGATGTCTACTATAAGTTTTCCGTAAATTTCTTTCTCAAGTTGGGGAGCTTCCTTCTATTCCTTGTTTGCTGAGTTTTTATAATAAATAGGGATTGGATTTTGTCAAATGCATTTTCTGCATTTATGATATGATTGTATGATTTTTTTCTTTAACTGGTTGACAAGATGGATTAGATTGATTTTCAATGTTGAAACACCTGTGCATACATATATGGGATAAATCCAAATTATGATATATAATTCCTCTTAAATATTATTGAATTCTATTTGCTAATATTTTGTTGAGGGACTTTACTTCCATATTCATGAGAAACATCGGTCTCTAGTTTTCCTGTCTTTTAATGTCTTTGTCTGGTTTTAGTCTTAGGCACTGCTGGCTTACAGAATTAGTTAGAAAGTATCTCCTCTTTTTATTGAAAAAATTGTAGAGAATTTCTGTCTTAATGTTTGGCAGAATTCACCAGTGAAACTATGTTGGCTTGGAGCTTTTCATCAAAAGGTTATTAATTATTAATTCCATTTCTTTAATAGATATAGGCATATTCAAGTAGTTTATTTCTTCTTTGTATGAGTTTTGGTATATTGTGTCTTCTAAGAAATGGGTCCGTTTATGTTATAGAATTTGTGGGCACAGAGTTGTTCATTGGATGTGAAATTCTAGGTTAGTGGATGTTTTTTCTGCCAACACTAGCTATTTCACCCACTCTTATTCATGTGGTTTCTGAAGAGAAGTCTGATGTGGTTCTTATTATGTTTCTCAACATGTAACATCCCCTCACCCCATCCACCTCCTTTCAAGATTTTTCTCCTTGTTTTTGATTTTCTACAGTTTGAATATGATATGTCTAGGTGTATGTTACCTGGTATTTAGCCTGATAAGTGTTTTCTTAGTTTCCTGGTCTATAGTTGGGTGCCTTTTATTAATTTTGAAAAACTGTCAGCTATTATTACTTCAACTATTTCTTACATTCATTTTTCCTTCTCTTTTTCTTATTCCTATTATATGTATGTTACTTTTGTAGTTATGTCACGTTCCTGGATATTCTGTTCCATTTAAAAAAATAATTTATGTCTTTGCATTTAACTTTTGGAAGTATATATTGACATATCTTTGAGCTCACGGAGTCTTTCTCAGTTATATGCAGTCTGTTAATGAGCACAGGAAAGCAGTCTTCATTTTTGTTTTATTGTTTTTGAATTGTAACATTTACTTTGGATTATTTTTAGAGTTTACATCTCTCTGTTTACATTAGCCATCAGTTCTTGCATGGTATTCACTTTTTCCATTACAGCCCTTAGCATGTTAATCGCAGTCATTTTCAATTTCAAGTCTGGTAATTCCCAAACCTCTGCCAATTCTGAGTCCAGTTCTGACGCTTGCTTTGTTTCTTCAGACTGTGTTATTTTGCCTTTTAATGCACTGCAATTTTTACTGGAAGCCAAATACGATACATCAGATGAAAGGAACTATAGTAGATAGGTCTTTAATGTAAAGTTTAATGTTTATCTGGCTAAGAGTTAAACTATGTTTCCTGTTTGCTGTAGCTGTGATGTCAAAAGTAAAATTCCCTCTAGTGTCCTTCTTTCGGTCTCCCCTCTTATATTTGGGTGTTTATAGACTCCAGAAGTAAGGTCTGAGCCTTCAGTTCTTTTAGCTGTAATCCTCAGCTGTTTATGCAGGAGCACCATTGATGCAGTAGTAATGAGTGCGAGGAGGGCACGCCTTCTATAATCCTCTGATTAGATCCCAGAGATTTAGTGAACTGAAGTGTGTATTTCTCTTCCTCCATATTAAGGTCTAAAGAGGGCTGGATTTGGGTATTGCCTTCCCCGGGTCACATAGGCTTTCATAAAATCCAATTAGGCTGGGGCTGGTAAAGTAGTTTTCCC